GCGGGAGAGAGAAGAGCCTCAGCTTCCTTGTCAGAGGCCCAGCAAATGGCTCGGACCCTCAGGGGAGACCACTTTGGCTGGACAGTGAGGGGAAGCCAGACTCCCAAGGACAAGTGAGGGGTCAGGGAGGAGCCTATGTCAGTGGCAGGTGCCAGGCACACAGTGGAGGCACCGAGCATGCAGGGAAGGGGGCTTGGAGAGGAGATGAGCTTCGGAGACAGGGTTGAAGCCACAGACTGACACCGCCCTCCCCGCAGGATTGGGATTACACCTATGTCCACAGCTTCTACCACTGCGCCCTGGCCATGTCCTTCATCCTGCTGCTGCCCAAGGTCAACAAGAAGGCGGGAAGCCCGGGACCCCCGGCCAAGCTGGATTGCTCCACCCTGTGCTGTGCCTGTATCTGACTGCACCCCCACCCTGCCTCTAGGTCCCCTCCGGCCCCATCTGGTGCCTGGCGCACTCTCCTGTCCTCCCCCAGCCCCGAGTGTCCAGAAGAAACTCTGTCCTAATTTTCTGAAGGTCCCAGGGACTCGGGAAGCACCTCTTTGCCAAGGGCTTCCTGAAAACCCACTTACTAAGTTTCTATTGGGTGCTAAGCACCATGCTGGGGAAAAAAGAAGTGTCCCCCTGCTCCTAGGCTCGGGCATGGCTGACCGTGTGCGGGAGCCTGGAGCCGCCTGGGCTCTCCACCTCCCGTCCCTCTTCCCCCAGGAGGCCCAGCGCCGTCCCAGCCGCAGAGCGGTTCTGCCCATCGCAGGGTCTCGGGTCCTCCCCACGCCATCTGTTTGCTCCAGGAAACTGGTGTCACCACTTCTGTCCTATGTCCCCGGGTTCTGAGCATGCCCATTTAGGCAGCCGGGGCCAGCTGGGTGATCACCCTGGGCCAGTTCTGTCCTGGCCTCAGCCTGCCTGCCCCATGGCCATCCCTCCAGCTGGGTCCCTAAATCAAGTGTTTTGATGACAATAACCAATAAGAAGCACCTCGATTTATTGACCTGACTGGGAGCCCCAGCGAGTGCCCATTTCTGTCCTCTGAGCCCTCTGCCCTGCTTCCAGCCCTGCCTGGGCTCCTCAGCATGGGAAGGCGGGTCTGGGTGCGGGGACCTTGAGCAGAGGCTGGTGGCAGCCCACAGCTGGGCTCGAGGGGAGGTCAGCCTGCTCCGGTCCGGAGCCTGTCTGCACCAGGCCCCGGGGGGTGGCGGGAGCTGGCCTCCCAGACATCACCTCACAAACCTGAGCCTCCCCGTGGTTCAGCCCACCCCGACTTCCCGAATGATCCAGGCACATCTGTCAGGCAGGAAGTTGCCTACACCTGTCTGGGGCCTGTTTGTGTTTCCAGACCGTGCAGTTACCCACATCCATCCCACCGCGGGGGACGGCCCGCTATTTGTCCAAAAGTCACCTCTCTCATGCCTTAGGGGGCCGGGAGAGAGCTGGCTTCAGCACCTGGGCCTGGGGACAGTATGGCCCCTTGGCCAGCCTCCCCCCCCATGTCTGTCAGCTCCCTGACCACCCAGAGGTCCTGTGTCTCGGGTCCTAGACACCCACAGCCTGGCACTGGCTCAGCACCTTTCTGTCCCCATGGTCTGTAAATGACAGGGCTGCCCATGCTCGGCGCTTAGGACCCTCACCAAGCTCATTTTCCAGCTGAGGAAGCTGGGGCTCCACAGCTTCAGGGCCATCCACCCAGGCCTGTCCCCATCATAGGGCCGAAGGCACAGGACACGGCAGGGGCCTCTCTCCATCCCCTCCTCCCAGGAGGAAGAGAGGGGCAGGTGCTGCTCCCATTGGCTGCAGGTCTGATTGGGGGGTGTGCACACATGTACACGCACATGCACACACCATGAAGAGACAGTGCACCACAGAGTCTTCCCCTCGGGCCGGGGGACACTCACAGATCACAGCACCGGGCTGTAAGCAAAGGGGAGACTCTGGGGCCCTGTGGGGTAACCAGGGGACATTACTCCGTAAACAGGCATCTGCAAGGTGCCCATCACCTCCCCCCAACTCCCTCTGCCCTA